CTGATAATTAGGCAGCATAAATAGTTTTGATAGGTCCTCATCACCCTCCACAACAGTACTCGGACTCTGTCTTGCCAAAACCTGACAGCAGAGCTTGGGCAGATGCTCAGAAACCCTCAAAACCATCTACACTACCCAACTGCCCTAGCTCCACTCCCTCGCTCACCATGGGGCCTTAATCTGCCCCCCACACCGCTTCCCTCCCCCTTCACCCCTTCTTCCACAACAGCTGCTGGATGCTGCTCTCCATGCTTCCTAGCTGCATATCGGAATTGGGTTGGTATCAGCTGATACGGCCATCAGTATCGGCCCAAAAATTCTCTATCAGTGCACCCCTAGATTTGATGTAATTTTAAAATTGTTTCGCATAGTCTGGATGAGCATACACAAGCAGTTTGCAGGGCCTGAAATCCTGAGGTTTGAGGCCCTGCAAACTGCACGCAGCACACATGCACCCATTTGCCATGCTGTTATTTAGAAGCATGGTAGGTTTTTTTGACACTGACAGCCACGGAAAAAAAAGGTGAGGTGCGTGTGGCAGCAGCGTGTGGTGCCAGAAACTGGAGCCTGGCCTGCCAGAATCATGCTCTGGCTGCTGACCTGGCTCCAACCAGCTGGCTTTGTGCCACTGCTGCCCTGGGAGGCCCCTAGGACCCCAGGTAAGGCTGCTGGAGCCTGCTCTACCCCACCTAGGTTACTTTGCCATACACCAGAGTGTGCATGCAGAGGCATGCCCTGGGGACATATAGCAGTGGTACATACGTGCTGTTACTTGTGCAGGGGTGTATGTTTCCCATGGACATGGGTGCTTGTCAGGACGCACCCTGAGCCCAACTAGCCACTGTATAAAGCAGGGAAGTGGATTTTCTGAATGAAGGATTAAGCAGATTAATGCTTTTAACAGTGGCTTGAGAGAGAATCTGAGGAGTAAGCATTATTTGAGCATTCACGTGTTGCAGTAGGAATGGTGAGATGTGTTGGATCCATCTGAATGCCTATGATGTGAGAGAGCTAGCAGGTCAAGATCTCAGGAGCTCCAATTGCATTCCAGAAACAGCTTTCTTCTTTCTAGTGCCCCCAGTAGCAGGCTGCTCCTGTCCCTGACTGGCAGGTGTCAGTGCCTGAGCAGGCTGCTTGAAAGTTAGGAATAGAATCTGGATTGAGGTGAAGGAGAAGGGAAGCAAGAGCTACTGAGCAACAAATGACATAAAACTTGATTAGTATTTACTAAGCCAGATCATATTTAATGCAAACATAAGATAGGATAGTTGTGGCTGATGCAGGCAGGTAGGAAGAACATGTGGGTCCAAGACTAGCCAAAATATTCCAGCTTTATTCATTAGTGTTTCATGATAAGCATCACCATGAGATATTCAAGATCTTACCTCTTTGAGAAAGAGATTGGAATAGTATGTAGCATTGACCACGTTTACAAAGCACTGTTAAGAAAATCAACTTCTGTACCTCCACATTCAGGGCAGTGCTTCTACAAGTTGAACCCAAAGATCATATTTCACAAGTACTGTTATGTGTGAATTTTACGAAAATGTGAAAATCAAAGCAAACCTCATACATTTCGTTCTATAGATACCAAATATAAAGCATTAAACCATTTAGTTGTTGCAGTGCTTTTTTAATAGCATCTGTCTTGTCCTTGCTTCTGGATTAAGAGCCACTATAAAATATTTAAAGCTAATAGTGACATTTTAGAGCACACCATCTTGTTTAAAATGTTTTTTAAATCTAGCAAAACAAGATTTATGACAGACAGACATATAGTTTAGATTTGTTTATAAACTTCTCTGTGCTTCTTTTCTTTGAGAGTGAGTTTTCCTCTGGGCTCGTAAAGAATGTGTTAAAGTATGTATGTGTGTGTGAGAAATGCAATATGATGGGAAATGCCCTTCATTTAATTTTTTTTCTTCTTTTAGACAGCAGAGATCATGTCACAGAAGATGCAAAAACCGAGTCCATCAATGATACAGCTGATCTGGCCCTTCCACCTGAAATGCCAATTTTAATTGATTTCCATGCTTTGAAAGATATCCTGGGGCCACCTATGTATGAAATGGAGGTAACAGATTTCATTGTCTTCATTTCCAGCATTTCTTTCCATTCAAACTTGTCTATTGTGATTAGTTCTCCTATTCTTTTGCTGGTGACCCAAGTTTGTGTGGTTTTTATACCTCTTTTAAATCTGTCATTGATAGACATTGCTTCCTTCCCTTGACAAAGCCACCTCCCTCGCATCTTTTGATCTGGTCTGCTTGCAATAAGATTTATTTTTCCACCTAAAGAAATTCAGTAAGTATGTTAATTGGTTGTGTACAATAATGTAATAGTATGATTGCATGGTAGTAAAGTTTCCTGTGGCTGTAGTGAGGATGTGTTGTTTTTCTAATAGTTTTTTATAATTTTATTTTTACTCTCCTCAGGCAAGAAGCCCAAAGTAGAAGTCAAGTGTCTGGTCTCTGAGGCAGGAGCCATAAAATGAACCCATGCTCCTAATTAAAAACAGTCAGTGTTTTGTAGGTGTAAAAACCACCACTCCATTTTATGTCAGTAGTTCTCAGACGTCTTAAAATAACTTGACTCGTAGTTATCAAAAAAAATGTTGACCACCATAGCTTCCCCTCCTGTTCCATAAGGACTGCTTTCTTCCCTCATGATGGTCTGCTGTGACGGTATGCAACTACCACTGGTTCATCTTTGTGCATTACAGTCGTTTTCTCTTTCACCTCTTGAGCCAGGTAAACTGACTTTATAGCAGGTGGTGGTTATAGAACTCCTGCCCCTGGGGCAGGGAACTGGGCTTGATGATCTTCAAGGTCCTTTCCAGCCCTAACGTCTATGAAATCTATGAAAACCGTAAGTCAGTGTCCTGTACTGCAGAGAGGCAAGCAAACAGTGATGGATGTGAAACGCCCTGTTGGCTTCCTTCATTCTGGAGAGGGGAGAAGTGAAGGAGTCATCCCTAGGGGAAGTGGGAACAAGGATAAAAGAGGAAACTTACACAAAAGATGAGAAGCTTATTAGTGGTCTCCCTTTGACCTTCCTTTTCCTCTTCTTGGAATGTGAGGAGCAGACTCTGAAAGGGTTGCAGGGACTGGGGAGAAAAATGTATGGCATTAAAGTGTCCGTATCCTGTAACTTCCATAGAGGTTATTCCAGTTTGGAGCCAGTTCTAGAGTTGGCTCTCAGTTGGAATCAGCTGCAAACAGCTCTGTTTGCGGTTCGGATCTTTTTTGGCAATTTAAGCTTCTTCAAGTGTGTTAAAAGTTTTGATGTTTTTCATGGATAAATATTGGAAGTACATTTTTTAAAGTTTGGCATCTAATACCACAAGCATTAGATACAGTTGCATATTGATATGCAGTTGTGTTCCTATGTAAGTTTGGATAAATGGGTTGTTGGGGGAGGGGGGGATGTTTGTCTGTGTGTCGGGGGGTGAAGTGGGCGAATGTGTACACATGTTCTTTTGTGTGCAGTTGTTAAAACTTTTGCCTCTGCTCCCTTTCATGAATCTGCCAGCCTCCAACTTGGCCATATAAAAACTGGGTTTAATTTTTGTGTGACAAAAAGAAAATACATGGAAATCAGGTATCATAACCAACTAGAACTCTATAGAACTAGAAAGGAATCTAAAAGTTTAAGTCGTTAATCAGGCTGGAATGTGTATGTCTCTCTCTCTCTGTTTTCCATGTAATGCAATTTGAATTAAATGCAGATGTATCCTTGGTAAACATACAAGTTACTGCTTATGAAATAAACTAATAGTTAATGTAACTGAGAGATAATCATCTTCCAAGATAATGGATAATGTTCTTGGTTAGCAGTCATTAACCGTCTCGGGGTACGTAAGTATTAGGTGGGCTCCAGAATCTTTCTAGATACTTTGGTTCAGGTGTTTTTTGATTTTTATTATTTTAATTCCTCAAGTGGCCCCTTGACTTCTATAACAATGAAATTTTCTTTCTAATGAATTCTCTCAAATGACTCTGACTTCCTATGTAATAAGAAGTACAGTGCTTCTCAGAGAAATCATTCCATACTGGGTATGCCTGGTCAACCTACAGTGCATTTTTGTTTACCTGGCCTTGAGAGCTTCACCACTGACCTGCATTGTCATCTCTAATAAGATGAATAGGAATTGCCTTCACTGTCTCTAGGTCAGTTGGTGGCAATGAGGAATTGAAAATCTAAAGAGATTGGATGGATCTGCTCTCCCCCCTGCCACATAGCATAGCATACTTTTTAAAATAGGGCTATTTAAATAAAGTATCCCTATCATTGTAGCTGACATCTCCCAGTAGAGAGCGATAGAAGAGAATGTGGCTTGTAATTGTAGAATTAGTTAATTTGTAACAAAGAAACAGTCATTGCATAATGCCTTTAAATAACAAAACCTTGATTCCCTAGGGTGCCATAGGTGAGTAACTTCCCTGGAATAAATCCTTATAGTGAGGCTTTGGAACTACTTTTAACACCATCTTAAAAGCACAGCGTTGTGATGCATCCTAGCACAACATAGTCTTAGAGCTTTCAACCATTCCTCAAGTTTGGAAGTATTATATTACTCTTACTACATGTTCACGAGCCCCAGTTTGGAAGACTTATTGCCCTAAACACCCCTTGATTCAGTTTGGTTACTAAAACGTTCTCAATGTCAAATTGAAACCTCACCAGAAAAATTATTTCCTCTGCAGATGTGGAAATCTGAGGGTGGAGTGAGTAGAATGATAGAATACTGAATTGGGAAGGGAAGGCCATAATGCCATGGAAGTTGTCGCATACCATGGAAGGTGCATGGTTTTAGATACTAAAAATACATTGGGTTGCATATAAAAATGGTGGTCGCCTTCTGTATCCTGGCACTTTTGAAGGAAACATTATCTAAGACAATGATGTTACAACGACCTTTTGCATGGAAGAAAGTCTTGCTTGATTAGTCTTGCAAGGGGTGAAGATCAAGACTCTCCTGAGAAACAAGGTAGTTTTCAAATGTTAACAAATAATTTGAAAATATCTCAGATGCACACATTATGGCAGTAGTGATATTGTTGCCATGATGGTCCAGGAAATATCCAAGAGGCAAGGATTTTTGGGGTGGAATCGTTTAGTATCCTCAGTGCATGGTTGGGATAAACTTAGACAAGCTTTTGAGTGCAGTATGTATTTGTCAGCTACACTGATGTGAATCAGACATGCTGGAATTAAATGTGGGAATTCTGTTATCTTAAACATGGTGACACGAGCCAATATAGTGCTTGTTTGCATATTGACTCCTCAGAAGAATTTTTTTTTTTACATAAATATTTCTTCTCTTGAATGAGGGGAGGGAGGTGTTAGTGTGTAATGGCTTTTTAACTTTGCTTATTGTTTTTAAAACAGTATTTCTCTATTGTATTACTTCTAAACAGTTTTATCTGTTTTTGTTCTCTCTATAAAAAGTGATAGCTTAGTGCAGGGTTTGGCAAGGTTTTTGGGCAGAGTGCCAGTAACACCCGCAACCTCGATTTGTAAGATGTTGCCATGCCAAGGCAAATGGGGGGAACTGCAAGGGGCCCAATCCTTGTGGCAGCGTAGCTCCAGCCCCTTCCCCACTGCCCACCCCAAGGCACACGTGCCAAGCAAAATGCCTTCATGTGCCACCCTCTGGCACCCGTGCCAGAGGTTGCCTACCCCTGGCTTAGTGTTTCATGGAAAATGTTTTGAAGTAGGTTGTTTGTTTACGTTTAATCCTGTGTCTTGGCAGGAATCGTGAGTTCGTAATCAAAGAGAAAACAGCCTTGGGACTGAGTGTGGTTTTTTTAAAAAAAAAAGCTTTTTTCTGTGAAATAATAAAAAAACAGGTTTATTCTGATCTTTAAAGTTATTCCATGAGTGTATTCTACTTGAAAAGTAACAAGGGATAAAAGTCATTTTTGGCCAATGGTTGTTTTAAAATATAGAGGCTTCTAAGTGTGGGAAAGACATTAGCCGTGTAATATAAAAGATCAGTTTGTTTAGAATTACACTGTGTTGCTTTTTATTTCAAACTCTTTCTGTATCTGAAGACAACCTGCACAAATCCTACCCTCAGTTTTAACTGAGGAAGATTCTGAAGTTTGGTATACCACGGTTCACACGAGAGATTTAGATGCATAAAATATAGACATAATAGAATCTTAGATTGGTTCCAGTAAGTGAAGAGAAATATTTTATCTGGTTGTTAATCACGTCTTTAGTACAGCATACAGATGCATTTAAATTTCTTCAGCACATTAGTATTTTTTGAGCACATTATGACATTAATACTGTGTTGAGTACTATTTACTAGAGTTGGGTCCTGAGAAAATAGATTGCAGACTATCCTTTTGGTGGTAGTACTCAGTAACTAACACTCAGACTCTGGCCATTGAGGATCTAGCCCAGCATTCTTGGCACATTTAGACTGCTATTAAGCATGTGGAATAACTTTTTAGTGCATGCCAAAACACACAATCCCTGTTGTAGATCATTGGTAATAAACAGCAAAATGGAGGTGAATGTGAAAATGTTAGAGTACCGTATAATGAGAGAATAAAGCAGTCTAGTTATAGGGAATACTGACCAAGGGAAAGGCTGCTGCTTAATATTTACATCTTTTTGAAATCTCGCAGGCTCAAGCTCCAATTAAAACTTCAGTCAGAGGTCACATAAGTCTGAATCATGGTCTGATGCAGTCTCAACAACACAGTAGGAAAGTCACTGATCCAAACTAATTGAGACCAAAACTCAAATTGTTTGGCTAATGAAAAACATATTGAATGAGCATTGATACAAACCCCTTTCAGTTTGTTTCAACTTTTCCCGCAATTATTAGAACAGTTCTCTTTCTTTTAGTTCCATCTCTCACATTTATGCCACACGACATAATGGTTGATAGTACATCCTGCATTTGGATAATTGGCAGTCAGAGGAATACTATTATTTTGTTGCATGAAATAATTTTAAAATGTGAACAAGATGCTTTTGACCCATAAACGTTTGGAAAAATTGGCTATGGGATAATTAAGGAAAGTAGAGACTATCCCTGGCTGAAAAGAACCATTG